AAATGTATGCGGCACTAGGAATGTTAACATGAGGCAAATTAGGAATGGTATTGATGATTTTACTGAAGGGCAATGCCAGATCATTGCCAGGTTGGAGAGAATTTGCATACCTGTCAGTTACCTGTGGTTTACAAGCAGTTGCAAATGGAGTACAAGCTATTGAACAGCAAGGACTAGGGGCTGCCAGCCTGGAGAAAAGTGTGGAACCAGTGTACATGACATTGCACTGGAGCTTTTTTCTTTTTTTCCACGTGACCCAGAACCCAACCAACTCTCCACCTGAGCTTTGCACATCTCATTATGTTTGTTTTGTTTTTGGTGCATGAAGACACATAGTCAATTATCAATATCCAAAGGGTCCAAGTCTATAGACTTCACTCAATTTTAGTCCATGAGTAGTTTTTAAACATTGCATCTCTACTGAACATGTTCAGACTTTATTTATAAAGTATTTACATTGTAATTAGGCCTTATATTTAGAGATGATTCAAGGAATACAGAAGGATGTGTGCAGGTTTGATGCAAATAGCATCCTATTTTATTTGAGGGATTTGAGCATTCTCAGGGTGCGGTGTCTACAAAGGGTCTGGAACCACTGCGCTAGGATCCTGAGGGACAACGGTATACTGATTTTGAGATCAGAGTAGAGGAGGTCCTTACGAGTGAATTCATACCACCATCTAGAGTGGAAATTACATCTTCTGTAAATAATGACAGATATGCTCAACCTATGCCATGGCTCTTCAAGTCAGCTGTATCTGCCCCCAATGTGTGATTGTTGTACATCTCTGCTAAAATGAGTGACAGTGACCAGTTCTCCAAACTGAAAAGTTTATTTGGGAATAGCAGGGGATTGCAATCAGGATATATAAACTATGGCAGACTATGAATACATCCATGGAGTGGGACTAAGGGGATGTATTTAAGTTAAGGAGAGAGCCATGGAGCAGTTTTGAAGCAAGGATCGTGGTTCCCGGGCTTGGTTGGGGCAGGTTTGCTTTAATCCATTGGTGAAGGCAGCCATTGCTGGGCAAATGTCCACGTGACCTGTCTGGATCTCAGTGGCTTTGAGGAATTTCTCACACAGGCTTGGTTTTAGGCAGAGATGAGTGCGTGAGGGCTCTGTCTTCACCACCTGCCTTCCTAGCTCCACTTTTGTCCTAGGTACCTCCATTTTCATGCTCACCCTTGACCCTTCTTCCTCTTGGGAGTTCAAACCGATCCCCATCATGTTGGTGATGACCTCTCCTCCCCCATCTTGCCTTTTTCTAGGGTTAGCCCTTGTTCCGTTCTGCATGGCTAAACGGTCATTTTTCCCTTTTTTCCCCACTCACTTCCTCCTGAACCCTCTTCCTGTGACAGATCACAGTCCCCTGTAGATGTGTCTTAAGGTTGGGATTTTGCCTGTGTTTTTTCATACTCTCACCCCCTCTGATGACTTCAAGGATAAAATACAGTTGCTGCTGGATCTTGAGGGAATGCCTGGGGTGAAGTAGACAAGAAACAGTACTGTGATGCTAAATCAGTGACGGATAATTATATGGGACCTAAGTTCCTGTAGTAAGGGCTTAGTCAGAAATCTGGGATCAGATTGCAGCACAGTGGGTTAAGCTGCTGCTTATCATGCTAACATCCCATTATTTCCAGCCCAGCTACTCTGTTCCTAATCCAACTTCCTACTAATGTGCCAGGGGAAGCAGCAGCTGATAACCCATATGTTTAGAACCCTGCCACCCATGTGCGAGATCTGGATGGAGTTCCAGGCTCCTGGATTCATCATAGGCATCAATGGAGTGAAACAGCAGATAGATAACTGGTCTGTCTCTTTCCTCTAACTCCCCTGACTCTTAAATAAATGCATCTCTAAACCCAGAGAGAAACATCTGGAGGTGATTCGCTCATGTTGCAGGTTGGGACTCACTACCTTATACTTTATATGTAAGTGAAATTATAATATGCTACATAGTAACTATATATAATCTCACATAATATGCTGCCATTTATATAATTATATCTTATATAATCTCACTTTTATGTAAGTGGGATTACATATGTATGTTATATATGTATGGTAGATATTTACTATCCCCATCATTATATTGTGACTTTGTGTCCATCTCAGAACCCGTATCTTGACAGCTGATCCCTGACAAGTGTGGTGCTGTTAGGAGGTGTGCCCTTTGAGAGGCGGTGAGGTCATTAGCTGAGAGTGCTTGTAAGTGGAGTATTGCATTCAGGAAGGAGACCTCCCCATGAGGTCCCAGTCCTCATTGCTGTCACACCAAGGGCTGGCCAAGAGCGGCACAGGAACCTCTGGGGAGCACACCCCTACCCTGTATGGAGGATGGCAAGGTGGTGACCCAGGAATAATGTCTGGAAGGATGCACACCACACTGACAGCGTTGTCTTGGGGAAAGCAGTAGGTCTCTGGAGACGTGGTAGGAGGGACTTCAACTTTGACCTTTTCATTTCTGCACTTGATTTACATCTATGCAGAATCATTTGTATTATTAAATATTTTAAAGTTATTTGAGAGGCCAGGGGACAGAGAAAGAGTGTAAGCTCCATCCACTGGTTCACTCCTCAAATGCTTGCAACATCCAGGGCTGTCGGGACCTGGGCCAGTTAGGAGCCAGGAATTGGATCCAGGTTTCCTGTGTGGGCGGCTGGAACCCAGTTACTGCAGTAACACCCCTGGTCTCCCAGCCCTCTAACCCCTGCCGTGGTCTGCCTTGTCAGGAGTCTGGAGTCAGGAGCATTGCTGGGTGTCAGGCCCATGGAATGTGGCTCACAGATGGCTTAATCAGCAGGCCGAGCACTCATCCCTAAAGGGATACTTTAGTGAAGAGTTCATTTGAATGTGTTTTCAGTGTTCACTTTTTCTTCAAACTAATGTGATTTCACAAAACTAAAGCACAGTATTATTCACTATCCAAACTGGAAGAACTGCATGTTTGTTATTTGAGAATTGTGTGTATTTTAAAAAATAAACAATTGGGCCTAGCGTGGTGTCCTAGTGGCTAAAGTCCTCGCCTTGCATGCGCTGGGATCCCATATGAGCGCCAGTTCTAATCCTGGCAGCTCCACTTCCCATCCAGCTCCCTGCTTGTGGCCTGGGAAAGCAGTCGAGGACGGCCCAAAGCCTTGGGACCCTGCACCCATGTGGGAGACCTGGAGGAAGTTCCTGGCTCCTGGCTTCGGATTGGGGCAGCACTGGCCATTGCGGTCACTTGGGGAGTGAATCATTGGACAGAAGATCTTCCTCTCTGTCTCTTCTCCTCTCTGTGTATCTGACTTTGAAATAAAATAAAATAAACAACAACTTTTTATTGTCATATTTGTAGATATGAACATCTAGTGAATGGTGTTAATGTAACATGATGATTTGAAAATTAATTGCTTATGTTGTGTTTAATAATGGAAATGCTTATTTGAATATTTTGATTCATTTTGTTTGAATATGTTTTTCGTTTTGTTTTCATTTTGTTTGAATATTTTGTTTCATTGATGAAATTAAGTTTGATTTTGAACATAATAAAACATTTGAATCAAAGGAGTCTTTTTTTTTGGTAACAGTGAACACTTTTGACTAGTGATTACTTTAGTTATTTTTTTAAAATTTTTATTGGAAAGGCAGATATACAGAGAGGAGAGACAGAGAGAAGATCTTCCGTCCGATGATTCACTCCCCAAGTGAGTGCAACGGGCCGATACTATGCCAATCCGAAGCCAGGAGCCTCTTCCGGGTCTCCCACGCGGGTGCAGGTTCCCAAAGCTTTGGGCCGTCCTCGACTGCTTTCCCAGGCCACAGGCAGGGAGCTGGAAGGGAAGCGGGACTGCCGGGATAGAACCGGCGCCCATATGGGATCCCGGGTGTGCAAGGCGAGGACCTTAACCACTTGCACCACCGCACCGGGCCCTACTTTAGTTATTTTTCAAAAAAAAAAAAAAAAAGACTTTAGGAGGAATTCTTCATTGCACAATTGGCATGTGAAAATCTTGCTTACTAAGCTGTTGGTAGGTGATGCATTAAATTGATATAAACACCAGGTTGTAACTTTGTTGTTGATTCTCTGGTGTTAAGTTCAAGTTCCAAATGTTTAAGGATGAATTCTTCAGTGCCTTTTTTTTTTTTTAAACTGCTGTAGTTCACACAGTGGTGACTTTTTTTCTTTTTCACGATGGTGAGTGCTGATCTTCATTTCTTACCAATGCAGTTATAAGCACAGGCCCCAGTGCAAGATCTAATGAGGTGTTTTAGAGTAAGGGGACCTTGTTTTAGACTCAGCAGGCCTGCCCAGCGGAAAATTCTGTGATGATGCTCCATTTCTGTGCTGACAGGGTAATTGCCAGACATGCAGAGCAGCTGAACAGCCAGAACAGCAAATGTTACTGAGGAACTGACATTTTTGTTTTGTTTAGTTAATGTAAACTTAAGTCACCCCAGGATATAATGTTATCCCAGGGCGGTACTTAACAAACCGCTCATGTGCATGGGGAGGCCCTTCTGGATCGTGTTTGGATGCAGCTGACCCAGCGAGCCTGGAGTGAGCCTCAGACCCTGCTGCTGCCCTAGGACCCTTCTTGAGACACAGCATGAGTGAGCCTCAGACCCTGCTGCTGCCCTGGGACCCTTCTTGAGACACAGCATTGACAACGTAGGTACCTTGTGCCCCTTTGCTTAAAGAAACCCCTACGGGGAGAATGCAAATTTTAAAATTCTCACTGAACTTGAGGACTCCCAAGGAGTCCCCGCAGCTCTGTCTGAGCAGCCCTGTTGCAGCGTGTTGGATGCAAGCAGAGAGGAGGCCCGAGGACAACACGGAAGGGGCCACCAACCTCCCTAAGGGCAGGTGTACCCCACCCCCATTCCCTGAGTGTGTGTGGGAAGTTGTGTGTTCCATCATGCTTGTTGTACAAGGTTAAGGAGAATCTTCTGATAGAAACCTTTAGTTTCAGCTTTCCTACTTTATATAAACAGAAACCCATCTTTCTTACAGGTTTTGTGTGTGAAGCTGTGTGGAAATCTGAAATACCAGCAATCACACCTTTATAGTACAGTGGTGCCACCTGATGGTATGTGTTTGTATTGCATCTTAATTTTTCAGAGGGTGAGGGTGGGTTTTTTTTCTGTTTATTTTCAAAGTTATTTTTCTGAAAAGCAGTGACGGGTAGCAAGAGGTGGAGATTTCAGGGAGCTGGGGAAGGGACAGACTCAGGAAGAATGAGAAATCTTCAGTCTACTAGTTCCCCAAATGGGCCAGTCTTAAGCCAGGGGCCAGGAACTCCATCTTGGTCTCCCATGTGGGTGGCAGGGGCCGACGCTGTTGGACTAGCAACTGCTGCCTTCCCAGAAATAGTAGCAAAGAGAATTGGAAACAGAGCAGCTGAGATTTGACCAGCACACTCATATGGAATGTAGATGTAGCGAGCAGCAGCTTAACCCATACCAGGATGAGTCGTAAGCAAAACAGATGGTTATACTTGTATTACCCTACTGGCGTCTGACTCACCCCTTGGTGAAGTTCAATTCCTGTATCTGCTGCTCCCAGAGAATGTGAAGTGTTTTTGGCTAGCTACCATTCTGGCGGCCAGAGGAACTGGGGATGAGTCAGAACCAAGCGTACCTGGGAAGACTTTAGGCAGGTGAAGTAATACAGGTGTGGTGCAAGTTGTGATGGCGCGTTCTGGATGTGGTAAATTCATCATCTGTACAAGCCACACACATCCGCATTGGCATTTGGGGGCTTGTGACTTCTCTGTATGAGCATTTCTTGTAGAATCCTTAGATGTTAAAGTCTTCAGTTAATGTTATCTGTTTCTGTAATGTGTCCCCTCCCCACCCATCCTTTTTTTTTTTTTTTCAGAAGTAACAGTTCATTATCGACATGGCCTTCCCTTGATCACACTTACTTTGCCATCCCGAAAAGAGCGCTGTCAGTTTGTGGTCCAGCCAGTGCTGTCCACAGTGGGCTCGTTCCTTCAGGACCTGCAGAGCGAAGACAAGGGTGTCACGGCTGCAGCTGTGCTTGCCGCAGGTGCGCAGGGGGCTCACTGCTTGGTCCCCCGGCCTTCTCTCTTCTCCTCTACTTCTGGTTTGGGTCTTGACTTTTCTAGAAAGAAATTGATTCTTTGATTCATTACGCAATTAATGGCCTTTCCTGAGAACTTAGCTCTTACACACCAATAGTATTTTGTTGTTGCTGTTATTTAAAAAATAGTTCCATTGAATAAATGATCAAAGGAATGTAATGAAAGTTTCAGTTACTTCATAAACTTAGGCTGAAAATATTCTTTCCCTTCACTGGGTGGGCGGGGCCTGCCCTCCTGGGCTTCTAGGAGCCCCTCACTGCTAATCCAGAACTGGGAGGGGTTGGACTGAATGGGGCTTACGTGAGGACATGTACTCAGTAAATAAATATTAAATCAGTGACATGAAAAAGGCTAAATAACCATTGATGTTTAGCCTGCTTATTTCTAAGAATGATCTCAGTAACTTTGAAACAGAAAGCATGAAGAGAGACTAGAAACTAAGATCTTTCTCTAGGAGCCTTCGAGCAAGGAGGCTTTCTATACTGAACACTATAGTGGGTTTAAATTGCTAGTGGTCCAGGAACATACCAAAAAACTGTGTCATTAGCACCTTAGAAATATTTTGGGTTGATGTTTTGGTGTTCATACATGTATGTAAAGGATAATGTAGTATTTCCACTGAAAAACCACACTCAGTTGATTTTTTTTATAGTAATGCTTGAAGAAGCTGGTTAGAAGTTATTTAAATGTATGTTTTGAAATGACACTTTGCAAGTCAGGTGTGGTGATGATTTTTTTTTAAGAGACTGTGTGAGCAGCCGCACGCAGGTGGAATCTGCCTGTGTTTAATTTGGGCTTGAAATGAGTATTCTCAGCTTGTCACAGTTTGCCCATTGTGTGGGTTGAGTTATTTGGCAGTTCTTCTTGGGAAAATTATCTCACCTCCACTGATGAATGGGAACCCAAACAGGCAAGTTCCAGGAACAGATTCAGGCTCAGACTTGACTGCTGCTTTCTGGAACAAAAGGACTATGGGGAACCAGACAGGAGGTGAGCAGCCAGGTTCTTCCTGATTCTAGAAGCAGGATTCCTGCTGATAACAAATGGTCCGCTGTGAGTGAACATAGCCAACATGGTCAAGAGCAAATAGACCCTCCAGCATTTTCCTGGATTTGGTTTCATATAATATATAGTCACTCGGAAAGATGGTAGAAAAATCCCACCCTGCTCCAGTTTTTGAATCACTGTGTGGTGAGTTTACTTTTTTTTTTTTTTTTAGAAATTTATTTATTGGGCCCGGCGCGGTGGCGCAAGTGGTTAAAGTCCTCGCCTTGCACCCCCGGGATCCCATGTGGGCGCCGGTTCTGATCCCGGCAGCCCCGCTTCCCTTCCAGCTCCCTGCCTGTGGCCTGGGAAAGCAGTCGAGGACGGCCCAAAGCTTTGGGACCCTGCACCCGCGTGGGAGACCCGGAAGAGGCTCCTGGCTTCGGATTGGCATAGCATCGACCCGTTGCGCTCACTTGGGGAGTGAATCATCGGACAGAAGATCTTCCTCTCTGTCTCTCCTCTCTGTATATCCGCCTTTCCAATGAAAAAATAATAAAAATAAATCTTTAAAAAAAAAAAAAGAAATTTATTTATTTTTACTGGAAAGTGAGATACACAGAGTGGAGGAGACACAGAGATGACGTTCTTCCATCCAGTGATTCACTCTGCAAGTGGCTGCAATGGCCAGAGCTGTGCCAATCCAAAACCAGGAACCGGGAGCCTCTTCTGGCAGTCCCATGTGGGTGTAAGCTCCCAAGGCTTTGGGCTGTCCTCCACTGTTTTTCCAGGCCACAAGCAGTGAATTGGAAAAAAAAAAAAAAGCAGAACACAGAATACGAACTGGTGCCGATATGGGATCCTGATATGTTCAAGGCCAGGACTTTAGTTGCAAGGCAACTGTGCCAGGCCTTGGCTTTACAATGTAACCCAAGTGTTAAGAAAGTAAAGTTTAGTTCAAAAAGAATACCTAGGCTGTATAAGAAGCTGAGCCAATTACATTGAAATAGAAAAGTTCTAAGAGGGGTTTTTCTTTTGAAATGTTTCTAGAATATTTGAAATTGCTGTTAGAATCTCTCTTGCTTCTATCTACCTCCGTGAATTAAATCACACAGTTGTAATAATAGAAAGTTTATTTACTTATTGGAAAGGGAGAACAAAAGACAGGTTTCCATCTGCTGGTTTGTTCCTCCCAGAAGCCCTAACAGCAGGGTCTGGCAAAGACAGGAGCAGGAGCTGCATCCAGGTATTCCATGTGGGTGTTATGGAGCCAACTTCTTGGGCCATCATCTGTATTAGCTTACCAGGCCTTTATATTCCAACAAGGGGAGAGACAACTGGTTGAAGCAAGAAAGAATTTATTAAAGGTAGGACTGCAGAGAAGGATTGAGGGGCACGATGCATGCTGGGACAGCAAGCCAGGCCAAAGAGAAGACTCAGGTCCTGGGCAGTGAGCAGCTGATTTCTTGTGCCTGTGGCCTGGGAAAGAGAAAGTCCCATGGGCACAATGATGTCCACAGTGAAATGGTGGGACAGGGTGCCTCCTTTACAAGTGTTGATTGAAGTCAACAATTTACAAAGTGCAGTCTTATCAGCTTGGGATGTCCCAAGTTTGTGGCTGTGAAAGCCAGAATCTTAGGCCATAAAATTTTACCTGACATCCTCAAGGTCTTTTTTTTTTATGGTTTATCTATTTTTAGAAGGTAGATTTTTACAGGAGAGAAGAAGAGATAGAGAGGTCTTCTATTCACTTATTTATTCCACAGATGGTTGCAATGGCCAGAGCTGGCCCAGTCTGAATCTGGGGGCCAGGAACTTTTTCCAGGTCTCCCATGTAGATATAGGAGTCCAGGTATTTGGGCCTTCATCTACTGTTTTCTCAGGTCATAAGCACTGGGCACTAGATTGGAAATGGAACAGCTGGGACTTGAACTGGTGCTCATATGGGAAGTTGGCACACAGTTGGTGGAGGATTAACCTACACTATGCCAACACCAAGCTTTTTCTTAATTGGGCTCAGTTGGTCAGTTTTGAGAATTATTTATTTCACTTTAACAGCTCCTAACAATAGGCTGCCTTCCCGGGTGTATTAACAAGAAGTTGGATGGGCAGCAGACCAATTGGGACTTGAAAAACCAGCACTCCAATATAGGCTGCTGGCATTTCAAGTGGCACCTCATTTCTATCCCACACGTTGATTTCATTGGCTTACGTTCACTATCTTGGCCACCCCCACCTCCTGGAAGTTGTGCCTCATGTAGTTTTTCCCAAGTTCTCCTGAACAGCAGGGTGAGGCTGTGTGTGTGGAGGGGTGATTTGGGATGCTATTTCGTCATGAAATTTTCAGCTAACACCAGTCAGTTACTTCTGTAAATTCTAAGTAAGAGAAAGGCAAGCTTTGGGAAATGTAGCTGTGTGTTGTAAGCAGAAGAAATGGAGCCCAGCTAAGCAGAAGACTGGCAACGGGCTCTCAGATTGGAAGTTACAGGAAGATGGGCTCAGAAGGGAGCAAGCTCTGAGAGGAGGCACAAGCAGAGACCACATTAGTCCTGGCCAGTGATAAGCACTGTGTTAACGCTGCTCTGATGCTGTGACCTCCATGGTCCATGTTTGGAGCAGTGTCCATCTCCCTTGAACCCCTGCATGCCCTTCCACAGGGACAGTCTGGCTAGGGGATTAACCTGCCCTCCAGCCCAGCTGGTTGAATGGGAGAGGGAGCTCTTCTGCCATTTGGTCCAATGATACAGGAGGTGGAGCACTGGGCGGGGGGCCGTCCTGCCACTTTATACATCTGCATCCCATGTCAGGAGTGCCTGGGACCGAGTCCCACCCCAATTTCCAATCCAGCTTCCTGTTAGTTCCCACTCTGGAGTTATCATGTTATGGCGCAAACACTTGAGTTCTTGTCACCCACGTGGGAGACCCAGATGGAATCTTTGGCTCCTCTCTTCTGCCTTGTGCAGCCCTAGCTATTGCAGGCTTTTGGGGAGTAAACAAATAGCTAAAGATTTCTGCCTCACTCTCACTCTGTCTTTCAAATAAATAAATACATCTTAGAAAATAAAAAGGAAAGAGGATACAGAACAACCAGAGAAAATGGTCCCTTCAGTGGGAATGCTATTGGAGTCTGGGGGAACCCCCTAAAAGGCAGGTGTCCATGCTGTGTTGTTAAGCCCCATGGCAGCCATTTTCTGTGTATTGGAGCATGGTTCTTGTTTTATGAGTTTGGCGTTACATTTTCACTTTCAGATGGCAGTGAGATGCCAGCTTCCACCTTGATGGGAACTTTGCTCATGAAAGATTTTAAGCTTGTCATCAATGAAGTGGCTTATGACGTGCAGTGCCCTGACAAAGGTAAGAACACATCTTGTCCAACCGCCTGCCTTCACATCTTGTCCAAAGCCCCTGTGGGGCTTTTAGTGGGAGCAGAGCAGACCTTGTGAGGAATAGAATTCATTGACGTATTCTAAAAGGGCTACCTTTTACCCTGCCATTGCTGAAAGCAGAGAGGGGTTGTCTGGCTTTTTCTCTGTGAGAACCTGGTAGAATGTCAAATTTCAAAGGTGTCCTCACTGAGCCTCCAGCGGTCGGCCAGTGGCAAGTACAAGCTTTCAGACCCTGGATCTGGCTACTTTCAAGTTCCCACTCGTGGGTCTCTGCTTCTCTAAGTCGTGGTTTTCCACATCCACCTGTCCCTTCGGCTTCAAAGCCAGCAGTTTGCCATGTGACTTCAATTCTTCTTAGAGATCTTGTTAGAGTCTGGGCCAGAGCTCCCCCCGGCCCCAGGACGTTAGGGTGCAAGCTGTTCAACCCCCAGAAAACAACAAAGAGCCTCGCTGGTAATGCAAAAAGCAAACAGAGTTTATTGTGCCAGCAGGCTAGGGTCAGATCGCACTTGGGGCGCACAGGCCAGCCAAGCAGATGACTTAACATAAGGCTGGAGAGTATAAACCCCGTTTTGGCTGTAACATATGTCAAAGTCAACTCAAAAGTAACAAATTTAGACTTATGTGGCTCCCGGTTGCAAGCAGTCTATTCTGTTCTCACACTCATTATTTACGTTGCCACACTTACTGTTTACGCTCCCACACTTACTATTTGCGGCTCATCCCATCCTGGTACCCTTATCTTTATGGCTCCTCCGTCCCTGGGACCAGGGAACTTTGCCCCTGCCTTCCTGCACCCGGGTTAGTTGATAGATAAGGTTACAGAGGACCAAAGGACAGATTTATTGTTGAAGTGGAGTTTTCCCACAGTTCAGGTGCCTCCTGACCTAGCGAAGCAGCGGCTCATTGCCACAAAGAACCTAATATCGCCTAACGCTAATATTCTAACATTCTAGCATACTAACATTATACCAACACTCTAACAGTCTAAGAATTGCTGATTTTCAATTTCTTCAGCTTTTTCGCTTACTGTTAAGATGAAGTGAACTAGCATTGTGGCTTAGCAGCAGCATAAGCTGCCATTGGCAGTGGTGGCATGCCATACTGGAGTGCCCGTTTGAATGCTGGCTGCTCTACTTCTGATATATCCCACTGACAACATGCCAGGGAAGTCAGTGACTGAGGGACCAGGAGCCCGGGTCCCTGCTACTAATATGGGAGACCAGGATGAGAGCAGCAGGATTTCTAAGTGCCTCATCAGGCCACACAGAAAACTAGAAGTCTTAAGTCTTTTTTTGTTTGTTTTTAAAAAAGGTTTCTTTTTATTTGAAAGGCAGATTTACAGAGAGAAGGATACAGAGAGAGAGAGCGAGCGAGAATCTTCCACCTGCTGGTTCACTCCTCAAATGGTCTCAATTGTAGGAGCTGAGCCGATCCGAAACCACAAGTCAGGAGTTTCTTCCAGGTCTCCCACAAAGGTACAGGGGCCCGAGGACTTGAGCCATCCTGCACTGCCTCCCCAGGCCATAAATCGGGAGCTGGAATTCAAATATCCTTTGTTCTTTTCTTTCTTATTCTAGTATTCCTATTTTGCATGTAGCATGCCTTTGGAATTGCCGCATAGCCCTGGATATCTTGTTAGCAGAGGAAGATCTATGCCTTTCTTGGCCTTTCAAATAAATAAAAAAGTTTAAAAAATATCAGGGAAGTGTTTAGCCTTGAAGAAGGGACAGCTGGCAGAAGCTGAGAAATAAGAAAGTAGAAGCCCCTGTGGGGATGTTCTCATGTCCAGTGGGCTCCTGACGCCTGAGAAGGCCCTGCCCTTCTGTTGTTGAGGTTGAATAGCTGAGGAAACAGAAGTCTGTGTGTTCAGACCTTCCTCTGCCCCCAGCCCCAAGGCAGAGCACAGCCTAGGATCCTAGCCCCAGCTGGCTCCCGGAGGAGCACTGTGCCTGGGTAGAGTGTGCTGGGTTGGGTTTGAGCATCACAGGCAGGCAGCTTTCCACGTCCCAGCAGCCTTGGCATCAAGTGCTGCCTGCACAGGTCCCAGACTGAAGCTGTGTCACATTGTAAATCCCCAGAGGACACTAAAAAAAGGATTTAGTATTTTTATTGGAAGGGCAGATATACAGAGAGGAGGCCAGACAGATAAAAAGATCTGTCTACTGGCTTACTCCCCATGTGGCTGCAAGGCTGGAGCTGAACTGATCTGAAGCCAGGAGCTTCTTTCCAGTCTTCCACGCTGGTGCAGGGTCGCAAGACTCCAAGACCTTAGGGGGGAGAGTGTGACGACTGCCTTATGTCTCTTTTCAGGAAATCTAAATAATGAGCACATCCCCGAGATGGAAAGCGTGAAAGCCTTGGTTCACAGGCTTTTCACAGTCTTGCACTTAGAAGAGTTTCAGAAGAGGAGAGAGCACCTGCTACTAGAGAAAATCGACCTCCTGAAGAGACAGCTGCAGCCCCTCGAGCAGGTGAGGAAGCGCCATGCTCTGGTCTGGCAGAAAACATTACCAAGTGTGTTCCACATACCTCACAGAAACACCTTTTTTAGTGCTTCTTGTGCAAAATAGGACCTGTAAATCCTCCCGAGGAGCCTGCCAGCTCACTGCTGTTGTGGTCCTCATCTTTGGTGTGGAGCTGACACATGTTGGAGCCTAGATGGGAACTTGGGTGACCTGCCTGCAGAGCTGCTCCCACCCTGCTCTGGTTTTCCCCTTCAGGGATGGGCCATCACTTCTCTAAATAAGCCCAACAGGAGCTGGGATGCACCTGCTGACTGCTACTCATTTTTCTCTTCTGGGACTAGACCTAGTCCCCCAGCTCTGCTGAGCAGAAGTTAGTACAGCTAACAGCTGTAGAGTTGCAGTTGCAGAGTTAGTACCAAAGTTTCCAAACATGAGGTTAATCAATGGTGGAGGGGAAAAATAAGCAATTTTTAAAATTGGTGGTGATGGTGTGTGTGCACGGGGGTAGGAGGAATCCATTTTAAGGGAGAACCTGCATTGAACACGCATTTGTGATTTTTAAAAATACTTTCTTAATGATTGATTTTTATTGGAATGTCAAATTTACAGAGATAAGGAAAGACAGAAAGATCTTCCATCTGCTGCTTCACTCCCCAAGCTGCAACAGCTGGAGCTCAGCCAATCAGGAGCCAGGAGCCTCCTACAGGTCTCCCATGCAGGTGCAGGGTTACAAGGTTTTGGGCTGTCCTCTACTGCTTTCCCAGACCACAAGCAGGGAGCTGGATGGGAAGTGGAGCGGCCGGGACATGAACTGGTGCCCACATGGGTTGCAGGTGCATGTAATGCAAGGATTTAGCCACCAGACTATTGTGCCGGGTCCTTTCTAAAAGACTTTATTTCAAAGGCAGAGTTGCAGAGTTGCAGAAAACAAGGGACACAGAGAGATCTTCTGTCTGCTGATTTACTCCCCAGATGACTGCAATGCTTAGGGCTGGCCTCGTCTGAAGCCAAGAAGTCAGGAACTTCTGGATCTCCTGTGTGGGTTCAGGACAGTTGGCCATCCTCTGATGACTCTTCAAGCAGTTGCCCATCCTCTGATGCTTTTCAAGCAGTTGGCCATCCTCTGATGCGTTCCCAAGGGCATTCCCAAGGGAGCTGGACCAGCAGTGGATCAGCCAAGACTTGAATGAGTGCCAGTATGAGATGCCAGCACAACAGCTTATTGTATTACACCATGTGGCTGGCCCCATACTTTTTAATGGCAATTATCTCTAAGGATGGGAGAGAGGGCTTTTGTTAGATTGCTTACCCATGATTTTCTTTGCCTTTGAAAAGTAAAATTATGGGGCTGGTGTTGTGGCACAGTGAATTATGATGGCATTGCATATTAGCACTGGTTTGAGTCCCAGCTGCTCTGCTTCTAAACTAGCTTCCTGCTAATGAACTTGGGACATGGCTCAAGTGCTTGGGCTCCTACCACACATGGGGGAGACCAGAGTTCCAGGCTCCTTGCTTTTGCCTGGCCCAGCCACTCCCCAGCCATTGCAACCATCTGGGGAGTGAATCAGTGATGGAACTGAGTTATCTGTCTCTATCACTCTGTCTTTCAAATAACTAATTTTTTTTTAAGTTGGGAATATATTTTATATCTTTGATTTTTAAAATCCTTGTGCATACTCCCGTTCCCACTTTCTTTCACTAAGAATGCATCCCGGAATCTTTCCATACTGGCACACAAACAACTTCCTCATTACAGTCATATAATGTGATGGACTTTGGACAGCAAGGACGCTGTAACAGAGTCACACATGTTCAACTCCACCTGTAGGATGGATCCCTAGATATGGATTTCCTGGAACCAAGAAATTATGCCTGTAATTTTAGGGGGTTCAGAGGATGACGTTGAGCTTTTTCAGAGATTTCTTTGTATTTGAATGGCAGAGCTACAGAGAAAAGGAAAGGCAGAGGGAGAGATCTTCTGTTTGCTGGTTCATTCTCCAAATGGTCACAATGGCTGGAGCTGAGCCAATCCAAAGCCAGGAGCTTCTTCCAGGCCTCCCATGTGGATGTAGGAGCTCAAGGATTTGAGCCATCTTCCACTGCTTTCCCAGATCATAAGCAGGGAGTTGGGTTGGAAGTAGAAGAGCCAGGACACAGAACTGAGATGCTGCTGCCAAAGGCAGATGCTTAACCTACAAACAACATCACAGCACAGGCCCCGATTTTTGAGTTCTTTCTTATATAGTTTCCTTTCTTTTTCCCATGGGAAAATATTACCATGATGACTTAAAAGATTCACGGATCAGGAAATGAATGATCACTCAGTAAACTAGAGTATAAGTCATCTCTCATATAGGTGATCTTCAGAATGCCGTGGATGGACGTTTATTCTAAGGATCCCTTTATTATTGCTCTTCTCTCCCTTCAGTTTGCTTGTAAACTGAACTGTTTCCTGTCCCTCCAGGTGAAAGCTAGACTTGAAGCTCGTTCAGAAGCCAACACCAGCAGGCTCCTCTGGGCTGGCTTAGCACTGCTGTCCACTCAGGGCGGAGCCCTGGCCTGGCTCACTTGGTGGGTGTACTCCTGGGACATCATGGAGCCAGTCACATACTTCATCACGTTCGCAAATTCCATGGTCTTTTTTGCATACTTCATAGTCACTCGACAGGTACGTCGGAATATCTTTGCAAAGAATTCGTTACTCAAGTCATGAGCAGTAGTCTTTTTAGCTTCTGCCACCTGTGGTTTTATAAGCTGATACTTTTGAAGTCTTTCAAATCATGTTCCTTTCCTTTTCTTCTCAGAGTTATACTTACTCTGCTGTGAGGAGCAGGCAGTTTCTTCAATTCTTCCACAAGAAATCAAAGCAACAGCATTTTGACGTGGAGCAGTACAACAGGTTAAAGGAGGACCTTGCCAAGGTGTGTTACTGCAGATATGTGTGATGGCTGGTTTTCCCTGACGGAACGGAACACAACTTGATGGCTCATGCTTACAGGTTAAATACTGGGCTTCCACATCAGCTCCTTCCGGGGTTGGCTGTTCAGTGAGACAGCTGGTCCAGCTGCCGATGAGTTTCATATCCTATTTACAGTTTAAATATGTGTGCAAATGTCGAGTGACTTTGAGAAAAGTAGAAGGATTTCAATAAGCATTTGGTTTATAAGTGACACAAATGAATTTCTGGAAGCTGTCCACTGTGTAGGAACTCAGCTCTCCATGGCCATTGGTTTCTTTTCCTTACAGATAAAGGAACTCTTAGGCCTGCCCTTCACCCAGGGGAATAAGACAGGCTGCCCTGACAGCCACATTCCACATGTGCAATGCTGGAAAGTGAGGGAAACATAGCAGAAAGTTTCCCTGAGGGGAGGTTCTGAAGCTTCAAGCCATCATTTTATCATAATCGATTTAGGCAGCTTAAAAAAATTATGTGAGAGCGATAGGGGAGAGATCTTGCCCGGATGGGCCAGGTTGAAGCCAGAGTTTCAAGGGCTCATGTAGTTGGGTCATCATCCACTGCCTCTCCAGACACTTTCACAGGGAGCTGGTCCTGCAGCAGAGGCCAGGACTCCAAAAGACGCTCTGAGCCAGTGTTGCAGGCAGCAGTTTAACCCATGGTGTTGCCAGCTGGTCCCCTTAGCTCTCACCTCTTGACTCCCGGTTTACTCATGGGCTTTTGTTCAGAAGAGGATTTCTTAGTACAGAACTGTAGTTTTAGTTTTTATAATCAAATAGCCCTAATAACATCTCCTTCATTGAGGCTAGTGTAACAAGATACACGATCCACTGTGATGCTAGCATGTGCAGTGAGAGTGCTTCTGATCCACCTCCCTGCTAACAGCTCTGGGGAGGCGGCAAGGGGGGGCCAGAGATTTGATTCCTTGTCTGGACAGAGTGCGACGTGTCAGCCTGGATTCTGGCGGTTACTTCATGAATGCATCTGTAGAGAGAAGATCCTTTTCTCTGTCCTTTCCTCCGTTGCTATAACGTTTAAATGAATTCATCTTCAAAAGAATTTGCCAGAGTCTAGCTCCAGCTGAGTTCGGAGCTCGAGAAGGGTGCGTGAAATAGGCATAGAAAGAAGAGACGGACCACTACAATTCCAACATCATTGTGGACCCCGCGAGAAAGCTGTCCACTTTATTTATACAAAAGCAGTACACGTTTTTTTTTTTAAAGGGCATTTTGACATAGCTTCAAGGGGGGCCCAATTTACAACCGCTTGAGAGGCGAGCAAGGGAGGACCCCACATTCCTTGCCCATCTCGGCTTGCCAGCCCCTACTTACTTCCCTCAAGTCTGGGTCCCATCCTTGGCGCTGCCTGTGACAACCAGACCCCTACCTTGAATTACGCATGGGAAAAGGTCTGAGACCTTGGTTTATGGGGATTAGGGTATTGGCATTAAAGGTCATTAGGTCTGCAGGCCCACACAGTTTGTTAACTAAGCAAGAGTTAACGACGATGGAAAGAACTGCAATTAGCAATGAGCCATGTTTACTCCATTTAGGTTTCTGCTCTACAATGGGCAAGTAAATGTTTCCAAAGATAACTCTACAGATAGTTTCACCTTAAGACAGGGCATTATCCATTCTGATGTTGCAGCCAACATTTTCTCAGTAGACGACACATCTTATGCAGTAATACATTACTACTACAATTCTTATTTTATAACTTATCCATCACTTAATGAGAGAAATACATCAAAAGAGAAAAAATATAAAAATCTAAGACAAAAGTTTCAAACATTAAATCTCTCTGCAACTGCAGGCTCTACAACCTCATAAATGATCAAACAATAATCAAAAGTATACATGATGTTAGTAAAATCACCCTATATTTCCTCTAGTTAAAAAAATTATGAAGGCCGGCAAAGCAATTATATTTACTATGTTCTAAAGAGTTGAGAGTTGCAAGGACAGGCTAACCTTTAAGGTCACAGTAACTATATTTTTGCCATAGCAGGATAGTCTTTAGGGTCACAGTAACTATAACAGGATGGCTTTTAGGGTCCCAGTAACAAGATAGCTTTTAGGGTCCCAGTAGCTATATTTTTTGTCATAGCAATTTCAACCCATACTCCCATCACTTCCATTAGTTTGTGAAACTCTTATCAAGCCATTTCCCAGAAAGCATGCTAAATGTTTGGGCCAGATTTCAGAGCAATGGTTAGGCACACAATAAGGTGTCTGGAAACAGCATGGGCTTAATTGTACTCCTGTGCGCAGTTAAAGGTCCACTAACCAAGACATTATCAGTAACATTAACTTTTAAGCTCATGTTGGTAGCAAAAGCCATCTCACAGGGGCAAACTATGCCTAATAGATTGCAGAATTCTTAGTGGGGTGGTTGAGTGTCCATGCAAACAGGGGTTGAGACTGTGTCAAGGTGGTCAGAGAGAAATCCGCCGGGCCCTGCCAAACAGCTGGAAGCTCCCCCGAGCTCTGACAAGCAGGGGAGCTGTTCTCTTCACACCTTCGTATTATTCACACCTACTGCGTGGACACCAGCAAGAATTCTTCACGGCTACCTGTACACTCACTGAATAATCAAGAAATCACTATATTTTTTGCTATTTGTGCCTTCTAAATTACCCCTGACATTGTAAACTCCTCTTACATTGGATGATTCAAATCAAAGCTAGGGAATGGATGCTCTCACAGGCAGTTTATAAGGACAGGATCATTTAAGAGTTAAAATTCTATGCATCAGGCATTATTTTTTAGGTAATAAAGGGAAGAGAAAAAGAACAACTGGTAAGTCACAAGGTTGGTTTAAGTACAAATTAGAAAGGCCATTAGGAATGATTTAAGCTGCTAGTTAGAAAAACAAAAACCAAAAAAGTGGGCCAGGCGTGGTGGCCTAGTGTCTAAAGTCCTTGCCTTGAACATGCCCTGGGATCCCATATTGGTGCTGGTTTTAATCCTGGCAGCCCTGCTTCCCATCCAGCTCCCTGCCTGTGGCCTGGGAAGGCAGTTGAGGATGGCCCAAAGCCTTGGGACCCTGCACCTTTGCGGGGGACCTTAAGGAAGCTCCTGGCTTCAGATCAGGGCAGCACTGGCCATTGTGGTCACTTGGGGAATGAATCAGTGAATAAAGATCTTCCTCTCCGTCTCTCCAACTCTATATATTTGACTTTGCAATAAGAAAAAAGAAAAAGAAAAGCATTCGGTTAAAATATCAACAGTAAAACTCACCTTGCATAAAACCAACATAACATTGGTGGATTTTCGGTATCTGCTACTTAGTAGTTTCAGGGTACCCTGCGGCGCTGGGACATGCTCTGTAAGGAGTCCCTGCTGCAGCAATGTGGCTTCCCCCTGATCATGTGTTTCTCTTTCTCCCATGACAGGCCACAGAATCCCTGAGACAGGTGCGCCACCCGCTCTATTTGAGAATGCAAGTGGAGGAGCTCGGTGAAAAGAATTAATCTTACCTTTTACTGGACTTTTCCATGTGTTGATTGTACCTTATGAATGTCATTTCTGAGTCGCATAGTTCATTTCAATCTGTTTCAGTTTCTAGCTAATAAATTCTTATTTTAAAAAGTGTTCTTTCAAAATCTTGCCTGAGTATTCTGGGACGTGGAGACCTGTATGCATGCATCAGAGCCCCAGCAGCTGCTGGTGACACAGCCCCCTCCACAGCCTGGGGTGTGTTTCTTCTTGCATGAAGGTGTGATGGTCTGTGTGCTTCGCACACACTTTACCCTATGATACAATCATTTTCCCATTAGCATTGTTTATAACATTTATCAAAAAGGTATGGACGTCCCATGAACCACAGTGTCTAGTTGGCACTTTCTGAACTGCAAGTGAAACAGCGACTATGGATTCTGAATGAGCAAAGCACAAACTGCAGTTACTAAAGCTGACACTGCCCATCAGCCTTTGGCTGGTGCCTTTGGGTGTCATGCTGCTAAAATAGAATATTAGTGACCCTTACCATGACAGTCTGTGACCAGGGCTCAAAGGTGTGTGAAGGAGGGTACATTAGAAAATTACAAATGGAGGGGTTTTGGGAGGATGTGGTACAAAATAATTGAGATTCATGTATAGTTTTCTCGTGGCAGACATACTCCAGGGACTTTTGAAGGACCTTCTAGTAACTCAACACAGAAGATAAAGATGCTGGCATAATGTTTTGCTGGTGCCTAGCTTTTAGTAGCTGAGAGTTGTTTTATATTTCATCTTCAGAATGTCACAGTGCTTGATTAAGTGGCAGTTAAAGTCATCAACAAAATGTGCTAATCATATCAGCTATTAAGCAACAGTAAGATCAAGTAAAACAATTCTACAGATTATACAAATGACAATAAGTTAATCATATTTTACTAAAATTTTTATTTTATCAAGTGTTAGGGCAAAACTGGGTAGCAGTAAAGTTTAGTAAGAAGATTAAGTATTCAAATGGTGGTAGACTTTCCTGGTTATGTCCTGAGTATTTATTTATTTTTCCGTATATATCAAACCTTTAAATTCATATCTACCATGGGCTTGTTAAACACAAGTGAAGTTTTCTATTGAATACTGTACCTTAAAACATCAAATAGCTAGTGACAGAAAGGGAAGCATTTTGGGCATACATCATTAGATAAAACAGCCCCTAGTTGCTAGCTTTGGGATAGAAATGCAGCTTCTTCGTTAGCATTGATGCAAAGCAAGGGGCCTGCTTCTTCCCGATGGCCTTCGGGATGTTGGAGGACTCCACCTCGCGCTGCGAGACCTTCCTGTTCACCAGCGTGAGGAGTTCTGTGAACTCCAAGGAGGAGCCATATTTTCCCAGCATCTCACACAAATCCTGAATGTACCATGAGCCTTTTTTAGGATCCCGGAAAGAATAATATCCTAAGAAGGAGGAGGAGAAAATAAAAATGTCACAATGTTTCCTGGCTTTCAGTTGCAAATGGTTGGCAAAAGCATTTACAAGTCAGTTACAGAAGTTTTCAGAAATCCTTCACAAAGACTGAGATGCATGCCTAACTTTGAGATTGCATATAGTTTGATATCAGTGTCATAAGAAATCCCCAGGAGGACTAATTTGTCAAGTTCAAATGCAGAACCACCTGTAGAGTACATGATCAGGGAGCTGGAGTGGACCTAGTAGGTAAATAGTGGCCCCTCCCTCCTGTGTTGCCAGTGCCACTGATGAGCATGATAACCAGGACTGGAGCAGGCATGGCTAGACAGAGTGACACCCATTGCTACGTGTGTGGGCTGGCTTGTGGGGCAGTTGGGTTGAACTAGGCTTCAATGCCTACTGACATGTATGAGCTGAATGAGATGGGGGACATACTGCACCCATCTACTGTACATGCTGGCAAGCATAGGAAGCAGGGCATGGGGTGGGACTAGTGGGGGTTATTGTGGGTTGTTCTGACTTGGCTGCAGCTCCCACTGGTTTGTGTGAGGGCCGAGTGTGAGGTTGGAAGGACAGAGCTGGACTGAAACACCCTCAGGAGAACAGGTCCTGAAATGGCATGCCCAGGGTAGTGGACAGTCTTCAGGCCGACCTAGATACCAGATTGGATGAAGTTCCACCATCTCTAACACTACTGACTTAGTGATTTGTGGATTTACCTTCATGAGGAAGATGCTGAAAAGGAGCCATACCCTATTCAAACTATAACAATATGCAGATCTGTAACACATTACATCACAGAATGAGGAAAATCCTGTAATCATCTCAACAGATACAGAAAAACACTTGATAAAATTGAATATCCAGGGACTAGCACTATGATGAATGGGTTAAGTCACTGCATGGAAGGTCAGCAACTCTTGTGGGCTCCAGTTCCAGTCCCAGCTGCTCCACTTCCAGTTTAGCTTTCTGCCACTGTGCCTGGGAAAGAAGTGGAAGATGGTCCAAATGCTTAGGCCCTTGACCCCACATGGGAGACCCAGATGAAGCTCCTGGCTTCAGCCTGGTCCAGTCCCAGCCATTAAGGGCCATTTGGGGAATAAGCCAGGGGATGGAAGACTTCTCTGTCTCTCCCTCGGTAACTCTGCCTTTCAAACCAACAAAATAATTTTTAAAAATTCAATGCTGATTCATGATACAAATTCAAAACCAATTAGGGATACAAAGAACATCCCTCAACATAACAAAGACTGTTTATAACAGATGCACAGCCAGCATCCTACTGGGTAGGGGAAAGTGGAAAGCACTTCCTCTAAGATGTTCACTCTCACCACTCTTGTTTAACACAACATTGAGTGGTTAGCCAGAACAATTAGTCCAAAAAGACAAAATGCATACAAATAAAAGGGGGAAGTGAAATGATGTATTTATAGATGATTTAATATCCTAAAAAACCCAAAGACCCTACCAAAAGACCCAACACAGGGATTCAGTTAGGTTGTAAGGACAAGATCAAAAGTCAATAGCATATACCAATTGCAAATTACTAAGCTATTAAGTACAATAGCATTCACAACAGCTATTAAAAAATACTAATATAACCTAGGATGTGAAAGATGTATATAATGAAAATTACAAACACCAATGGAAGAAAACACAGAACACACACACACACCCTCCCTCCTAACTGCTTTGGCTTGAAGAATCAATATTTTAAAATGCTGATTTATTTGAGTACATTCTTATATCTTCTGGCTCACTCACATCAGGACCACCGACACTCAGGATGGGCCAGGCCAAACAAAGGAACTGGCTTCCCAGTAGATGCCAGGAATGCAACCAATTCTGCCTTCACTTGCCTTCCTAGGTACATTAGCAGAAAGCTGGGAACACAAGCCAATGAGCTATAACTCAGACAAACACATGAGTATGGGATATGCACATCCTAAGCAGCAGCTTAACCCAGTGTGCCAAATGCCCAGCCTGAAAAAATATGTATTTTAGAGATTCAATTTACTTTAGGGACAGAGGGAGGAAAAGAGAGCCAGATCTTTTGTCTACTACTTACTCCCCACTTGCCTGCAACAGCCAAGATCAGCCTAGGCTGAAGCCAAGAGCACATATTCAATGCAGTTGTCCCATGCAGGTGGCAGTCCCACTTGAGCCACTACCTGCTGCCTCCCTGTGCCATTAGCAGGAGGCTGGGCACGGGAGCAAAACCAGTGCAGGCCTAAAGCACTATGATGTGGAATTCCTATGGGATACAGGCAACCCAAACAGCATCTTACCTACTGTGCCAGTGCCACTCCCTGTTAGTGACATTCCATACTATTCAAAGTGATTTCCGTATTCAACACCATCTGCATCAAATACCAATGACACTCTTCACAGAACTTGGTAACATACTCTTAAAATTCATACTGAAGCACAGCAGACCCCAAATAGCCAGAGGATTTTTGAATAATATAAAACAAAGCATCCTGACATCTGATTTCAAAACATATTATCAAGATACTGCAACTAAAGCAGCATAGTACTGCCATGAAGGCAGACACATACAATAAAGGAGGAGACACCTCAGAAATGATTTCATGTTTCTACTGATAATGATTCTAAATAAGTCACCAAAAACATGCACAACAGGAAAAAAAATCATGCACATAGTATTCACCTGACAAGGATTAATATGTTGAATATAAAAGCAACTCAAAATATTCAACAGAAAAAAGTCCATTTAAGAGATGGGCAAAGGGTATGATGCACTTTGGCCTGGTGGGTAAGGCCTGTGACTCCAACATCCTATGTGGGGCCAGTTCAGATTCTGCTGCTTCACTTCTGATCCAACCTCCTGCTAACTGGCTTGGAGAAGCCATGGAGGATGGCTCAAGAGCCTCGCCTTCCCCTGCACCTGTGTGGGAGACCTAGGTGAAGCTCCTGGCTTCGGTATGGCGCAGCTCTGGGGAGGGAACTAGTGATTGACAGATAACTCTAGCTCTCTGTAGCACTTTTAAATAAATAAATAGATCTTTAAAAAAATTTAAAAGAACTAATAATCTTTAAAAAAATCTTTAAATATCTTTAAAAATATCTTTAAATATCTTTAAAAAAAACTAATAATAAAAAAAGAAATGTTCAATGGACATAATTAAACATTTCACAGAAGAAACATGAATGACCAACAATTACATGAAGAAATGTTCAGTATCATTAGCCATCATGAAGGTGCAGATCCAAACCCTAATGGTATATCAGTTCATTCCAGTTGGATTGGTTATTAACAAAACCACACACACACACACAAAGCAACTTTAGTAAGGCGATCCTTGCAGGAAGTTGGCCAGAGCCAGTTCTGTGTCTGTGTTAAACACCAACATACCTTCAGCCACAGAGTAGCACATGAGGAAGTCGGCTCCGGCAGGCAAGGTGTAGACCGAGGCCGCATCCACCTGTGTCATGTTGCTGTCCTGCCCTCCTGTCTCACTATCCACTGCATCCATTGGGATGACAGGCTCGTCATATTCAATTCCCCGACAGGCCTATAAGACAAGAAGGAATCAACGACCTTCTGTAGCTGCTGTTTTCTTCCCAGGGAATGTAATACAGCATATCTTGCAGGTAGTAACAGAAATCACAGTATCCATGGTTCAGTGTGGGGCCGGTGTTTTGGCATAGCAATTGCAGTCTGTGTTTCGGACATCCCACAGTGTGCCAGCTTGGGCCCAAGATGACTACTTCCAATCCAGCTTCTGCCAAGAGTCTGGCAGAACAAGGAGAGGATGGGCCAAGAGCTGGAGCCCCTGCACACACATAGGAGACTGTGATGGCGCTCCCCCTGTAGAATGAAACCAGCTGATGAAAGATCTGTTTCTTTTTCTTTTACTCCATCATAATTAATTAATTAATCAATAAGTAAATAAATACCTTCACTTTAGAGGGCACTGAGCTGACAGTGTTGTTTACCTACTTAGGTTTTTAGTAAGAAACTGACATCTTCAACTCCATATTAAATTTTGTTGGCTGAGAGACACCAGAGGGGAGGAGCAAGCATTAAGCTTTGTTATGGGTGAACTGCACTGTAGGTCCCAGGTGGCACCCTCTCCTCTGAAATCTTTGATATGAAGCTTTTCTATTTCTCAGAACATCACCAAATGGGGTTTAGTTGGCTGGGCTGCTGTTGCACACCATGTAGAAAAGGAAACATCACCGCCTGCCTGAGGTGACTGCTATTCATGGGACTTTTTGTTTCCATCCCAGTGAGGTGCACATCGCACTGCTGGTTGGTTGTACCTCACTGGGAGGCCGAGAGCAAGTGCAGCAGGCTGAACTGTGCTCTCCTTTCCCATGTCTAGGCTTAAGCCCCACATTGCTACCTCTAATTTGTATTTGCATGGGAAGGCCTTTCAAGGGTTAATGAGTGTTAAGTAGGTGCCCTGGGACCATAACCCAGCATAACTGGCATCCTGAGATTGGTGGGGACACAGGCAGAGGGCAATGACAGGTCCACAAGCAAGCATGGTTCAAGAGGGAACATGAAGCTGAGGTTCCTCCTCTCCCAGCTCTCAGAGTCCAGGCGGAGTGGGCTGTCTTGCTCAGTGAGCAGACAGCTCTTGCAGGGGTCCTGGCTCTGACCAAGGACCAGCACCTTTTATTATGAGTGGAGTTTCAAATGTGAATCCAAACACTGTTGAATGGTAATAAAGATACTGAGAAGGTTAACATTTATTACTAACAGCTCAGAATGCAACTCTTGCCAAAATTCAAATAGCACCTCAGCAATTGCAACTAAATAATGCTCTGAGGAGTGGGTGTCAAGACACTGGTATTGAGTCCTGGCTGCTCACTTTATGATTTTGGGGGGGACAGAAAGTTTTTCTCAAGTTATTTATTCATATTTTTGTTTATTCATTCATTTATTCATTTGAATGACAGAGTTACAGAGAGCGAGCAAGAGAGAGAGATCTTCTATCTGCTGGTTCACTCCCCAAATGGACTCAATAATCAGGGATGTGCCAGACTGTAGCCTGGTCACCCACATGAGTGGCAGGGACAAGGACTTTGGCCCTCCTCTGCTGCTTTCCCAGGCCATTAGCAGAGAGCTAGATCACTTCTGATCCAAATTCCTGCTAATGTGCATGGAAAGACAGCAAACGATGACCAAGTCCTTGGGCTACTGCCACTCAGGTGGGAGACCTGGATGGGTGTTCCTGGTTTTGGCCTGGCTTGGACCTGGCTGTTGCAGCCATTTGGTGAGTGACCCAGAGGATGGAAGATCTCTCTGCCTTCCAAACAAATAAAATCTTAAAAACAATACTGAAAGTGTCCTTATGGTCCTTATAATCACATGTATGGGACCATGGATTTTGTAATTCTTATAATCAGGCTTACCTGAATAATGAATATCTTGGGTTTCCCCACCAGGCTTGGACACTTGTCTCCTTTGAACAAGGCAGTTAATGTCTGGATTTCAATCTTGGCATCTTTGGCATAAATGTGATTGCCTTCGCCATGGCTCAGGATGACACACACGAAGCAATCAGCATCTGCATGGCTGCAGGTGGACGCTGCAAAAATGCCCAAAAGTGCACACAGAGATGAAGATGTCGGTCATCCACACAGACTCAGGACATTTACTAATACAGAACAAAGAGACATGTAGGTGATTGCGAGAGGGGGCAGTGTTGCTGTGCCTTAGTCAGTACATCTGTAATGAGACACAACTTTCATTACCATTTCATGGTTGATTTTGCAAAGTTCAGAGTAAGAGACTTTGGCCAAATTTCAGTAGCTGTTGTGAAATGCAGAATAAGGGTCTTGAACATAACGACTGTAAGGAGTAGGGCATTGCTCCTTTACAACCTAAGCAACTTTGGCAGGAGGTTAAAAGTTTCTCTGAGTGAACAGAGACCTTAGAACAGCTGGGGAAGATCCAGAGATACAGCCCCGGCATGTCCCACCTGAGGCCCATGCTGGCACAGCAGGTAGCAGAACCAAGAGCTCAATGGAAGCCCAAATCTTCCTGGTGTGCAGCTGCTCAAATTTACAGTGGGCTGTGTGTTAAAGACATTCTTCGAGCTACACAAAGATCACCATAGTCAGTCACTGGCAGGTGATCTGATATCCCATGGGTATAGTGATTTTCAAGTAGTATAATCAATTAGTACAACTACTGCAGTGAGATTATAGAAGCCATAATGTAGATAGAGCAACAGTGTACAAAGCCAGTGATCAAAACTGGGTAAGAAGCAACTGAGCAATGGGCCTGTCCCACCCAGTGTCTGCAGGATTTGCTCCTTAGACTTTAATGCTGAATGCAGAAGTCATTTCATTCATTTCTTGAGTAGCAGATGGCAACATATGGTACACTACCTCTAAACTTCAGAGGTCTAATTCATTGCAAGGTTCTCTAAATCTGATGACATTTCTGCTAAAACCAATAACCTATGCTGTATTAACACATCGTGGAGTCCTAGAGTTTTGGAACAGTTGTTAAGCCACTGCCTATGACATCAGCATCCCATACTGGCAGATGGTTGGAGTCCTGGCTTATCTACTTCTTATCTAGCTCCTTGCTAATACACCTGGGAAGGCAGCAGACCATGACCTTTGTCCTTGGTTACTGCAGTTGTGTGGGAGACCTGGATGGAGTTCCGGGACAGTGGCATTGTCCTGGCTCAGCCTGGGCTGTTGCAACTATGTGGGGAGTGAATCTGTGTGTGTGGGTTTCCCTAACTTTGCCTCTATAATGAATAAACCTTTTTAAAAGACAACTTTTTTTTTACCAATATTTCATGGTTTGTACCTGTTATTCTAGATCAGGATACTCAGTCCGGACAGAGGAAGAAAATAATTTGATAGCACAATTACCTACCCTTACGAATTTCATGTTGCAGTTTTTCTTCTTTAAGATCATCAAAGCTCTTTACTTCGAAGCCTAGCTCTTTAAACCTGGTGGCAGATTAAACTGAACATTAGCTATTGAAATTCCCAGTGTTGTTGAATACTCTTACCTTTAAGGAATCTATCGGTATTTTCATGACAAAGTTTCCTATTCATTCTTCAAGGAAAAAGAAATCAAACATGACAATCCTTGACCCCCCTCAGGAGGAAAACATTTAATTTATATTGATACCTGTTCCATTTAGAATATTTCTGACTATATGCAGATGATTTAGGGACAATGCAACATTCACTAACATGTACCAGAAGAAGGTAAAGAATCAGTGCCCACAAGGTACGACAGGTCCTTTTGTGCTGTCCCTCAAGTACCCTGTCTGAATATGCAGATAAACCTGGTCACCTGCGAGTGAGCCCCTCCTTGTCTGCATGGGTGCCCTGTCTCTTTCCCAGATTTAACTCCTCAGAGAATTCATTGTGATTGAAGATCAAGGCGATTCCTCTCCTCCTGTGGTCCATTTTGTATTCCTCTTCTGGGTCAAATGCATCCCTGTTAATGAGAATCATCTATAGTTATATCAAGGAATGAATTCGTGCCAGCCCAAGGGCAATGTGGGAACAGAGGTGGTCTGCTGCCACCTCCTGCTCTGTCAGGTGGATGGTCTGCTGGTGTGCCCTGGGGAAGCCCACACTGGTGAGCAAAGGCCTGAGTGTGTCTGCACTGGGTGGTGAACATGAACAGCAGTCACATGCCACTCAGAGCCTTGCTTTTCTCCAGTTCCTGACAGCTGCGTTTTTTTCCTCTGGTCCCTGCGTCCCACAACCAAGGACAATAGCCTATTTCATAACTATAGGTCCTCACCTAAGCTAGACCAATGCCTAGGTATCATGAACATCACTCTGGCCCTTTGATAGCCAGGGGCAGCCTGCTCATGTATCAACCAACTCCCTGAGATACTGAAACCTTTCCTACTCAGTTCTACTGTCTAGCTCCAGATCCCATTCTTGCTCAGATTTCAATGCAACCAACCTTTGTTAACAACAAAAAAGCAGCACATGTTGGGGTACTGTGTCATGGTGTAGTACATTGATATGCCTATAGCACTGGCATTTCATTTGTTTGCCAGTTCGTATTCTAGAAGCCTTACATCCAGTTCAGTTCCCAGTGCTTATAATCTGGGGAAGCAGTGCAGCATGGCTCAAGTCCTTGGGCCTTACCACCCAAGCGAGAGATCTAACTTCAGCCTGGCCCAGCCCTGATCATCCTGATCATTTGGGGAGTGAACAAAATGCAGATTTTACCTTTGATAGGAGGCTTCTCTTTCCATCATGTTTTGCTTCCCATCTAAGAAAAACAAAATTGATGCCTGTTAACTTTTTGACTTCATGTGACCCAATATGGCAGGAGCTCACACCCTACCTCTGACTTCTCTATTGTAAATATTTGGAAGTTCCAGGAAACTCCTCAGTACTATGTGAAATTCTATACAGACAGCTCAATGCTTTTTTGACCTCTACTCTTTTTTTTTTAAAGATTTTATTTTTATTATGTTTTTATTGGAAAGGCGGATATACAAAGAGGAGAGAGAGAGGAAGATCTTCCGTCCAATGATTCACTCCCCAAGTGAGCGCAACGGCCGATGCTATGCCAATCAGAAGCCAGGAGCCTCTTCCTGGTCTCCCACGCGGGTGCAGGGTCCCAAAGCTTTGGGCCGTCCTCAACTGCTCTCCCAGGCCACAGGCAGGGAGCTGGAAGGGAAGCGGGGCTGCTGGGATTAGAACCAGCGCCCATATGGGATCCCGGGCGTGCAAGGCGAGGACTTAACCACTTGCGCCACCGCACCGGGCCCTTGACCTCTACTCTTACATGCAAGACAGAAAATACTCTTAGGGAAAAAATATTACAGCAGTTCGTTTGCTGCAAAGTAAAAGCAGCTGGTTTGCAGTTAGGGAACTCAATTGTAACAATACAGTGCTTTATAAGGCAAAAACTGTTCCTGTAAATATTTGTTCAAGAGTCATGTGCTTTTGACCTAGCCTTGGTCAATCCTGCATCACCCTCTGATCTGTCCAGAAATGGAAAGACAAGGCAGGGCTGCCCAAGGCTTAGCAGTTGCATGTCAAAGGGTACCCCTACCTCGATACCCTAGAAGGGAACCTTCTTCTCTTCCTGCTTGTTAATGTTTATTTCTCCGAAAGGTACACACACACACACACACACACACACACACACACACAAACACAGACAGTGATGCATAGGAGAGTTGACCCTCTTCTATTCTCTGTTTCCCTCCCCAGTTGCCCACAGCAGCCAGGGTGGAGCCAGCCTGAGGCAATGTATCCATCCAAGTCTTCTATGGAAGCAGTGACAGCCCACGTGGCTTGGTCTCTCTCCATGGCCTCCCTGGCCACTGGCAGGAAGCAGAGGCAGGACTCCAACCCAGGCATTCTGATAGGGGACCCAGTCATCCTCTGCAGTGGCTTGACTCACTGTGCCACAAGGCCTACCTCTTCCTTCTCATTGGGTCATATTCCCGCCCTCCAGGATGCCTGGCACAACTTCCTTTGGTCTCTACAACAGTGCTGTGACAGAATGTTCCATGCTGACAGAACTTCTCTTAGCTGCACTCTCCCATGATGGGAGCTGCTGAGCCCAGGAAAGGCAGCTGCTACAACTGAGGAACTCAAATGTTTCACTTATTTTCTTAAAACAAGAGGGAGAGGGAGGGAGAGGGAAAGAAGAGAAGGAGAAGAGAGAGAGAGAGAGAGAGAGAGAGAGGAGAGAGGAGAGAGAAGAGAAAAGAGAGAAGAGAGAGTTTTCATCTACTGGTTCACACCCTAAATAGCCACAATGGTTAGAGCTGAACTGGCTCAAAGCCAGGAGCCAGGAGCTTATCTCAGGAATCCCATACAGGTATAGGTTGCCCAAAGACATGCGTCATGCTCTACTGCTTTCCCAGGCCATCAACAGAGAGCAAGATCAGAAGAGGGGCAGCCAGGATGTTAAACGATGCCCATATGGGATCCCAGTGCTTGCAGATGGAAATTAGTGTGCTATGCCACGGTGGCAACCCAAACTTCTTTTTTTTAAAATTTTATTTATTTTGACAATCTTTATGTAGGTAATTAGGGTAAAAGGTTCAAGGGCTACAGGAAAGTGGATAAGACTAGTATTTTTTCCATATTGTTTCCTTCATGTTTAAAGGGGGATATTAAGGGAGAAGACCCACCCAATTTCCCACTCTCCCCAGGTCCCGAATGTAGGGCATGCTCTGAGGTTCTTGCTCATGTGGTTTTGATATTTCAACAGTTGTGAATCGCTGCCCATCTTGCCACTCCAAGCACTATGAGGTCTTTGAAGAATCCACTGATTGACATAGTCCATCATAGCTGAGATGGTTAGTTGACCTGTTCTGTCTTCTCTCTTTTCTTGGTTAGGGTTCTGAGTCCAGCATTTTGATTGGAGAGATCTCCAAAGAAACTTTGTCTGAGGTGTTCTCAAGCCAGATTCTTGTATGTGCTAGCAAGTACAGGGCCCGGCACAATCCATTGCCCTGATCAACTGGTGGTTGTAATTGCTGGGTTGGTTCTGTTTTCACTCCCGACTTCCATTGAAAAAATGGGTGTTGCAGTCCAGCCTGGTTCTACACAGCACATACTTGGCCCTCACATAAACCAGTGGGAGCTGCAGCCTAGTTGGAGCGACCCGTAATAACCCTCACCAGGCCTGCCCCCTACCCTGGTTAGCCAGTATGTGTAGCAGTAATCCAGTCTGTCTCATGCCCCGTTCCACCCCAGCCACTGTCTTAGTTTTATGTCCTCCCATGGAAGTGGTAACCCAAGAGGGATGAGCCCACTATTGCCCTCCCAGGCCTCTCCCACTCCCAGATTATGCACTCTACAGATAGTTCTGTGGTTTGACTTAACAGAACTAGCCCCCAGTGCCAGCTTCTGCCAGCTGATGTTGTGGCTAAGCCCAAACAACCCTCACCCACTCTAATTTTGTTTGCACCAGTTGGAATAATCAGCCCAGCCCGACTTTTCCCTGATCTAGTCCACATGAGGCGCACAGGTGTTGTAGCCCTGCCTAGTCTGGTCTGCCCCCATCCCAGCTCATGCTCCCCAGTGGGAGTAGCTGTCCAACAAAGGAACCCTCCCTTATTCCCCTGCCAGCTCTGCCCCCTCCATTCCTTGTTCTCACGCTTACTGGTTGGACACTGCGGTCCCTTCCAGTACAGGCAACCTCACCTTGGCATTCCGTATTGTGCACTAGTCTTTGTTGCGACCAAACCTAGCTCGACCCACACTGATGCTTGGATTTGCCAGTGGATGACATGGACAGATTCAGCCTGGTCTTCCCCCGACTCCTGCCAAATGTATGCCAGTGGGTAACTTTCCATGGCCTGTTCTGGGCTGTTTCCTATCATGCTTCTTGTGCTGACCTGCCGTGTCTGTGTCCTGCCAGAGGAGTTGCCCAGGCTCCTCCATCAGAACCTCTCCCAATGCCAGGTTTCATGCTTACCAGTGGGTCCATGAGCCAGCCCTACTCAGTCCACCTCCTGTCATAGCAGGAACTATGGCTTTTCCTGACTGGCCTTCAACCCAATCTGGTTCTTGCTGTTGGATGTTTCAGCCCAGTCATGGTTTGTCCATACCCACATATGGCTCACACATGGCTCAGTAGGGGTTTGAGATCTTGCCTAGTCCATCACACATCTATCCCAGTCTTCCAGGACACCAGGGGGTGTTGGGGTCTGGCCCAGTTCGGTGCATCCAATCCCAGTCTTCCACACTTGTGCCAAGGGAGACTACAACCATTTCCAGATCAGAATGCAGCCCCCATTCCAGGTCTCACACCCCTTGGCAGGCACCTCAACCCAGCTAGGGTTGTCCCCTTAGCTCCCCAACCAGGCCTGTTCCCAGCCATAGATCACTCGCATGCCAGTGGTTGCTCTGATTCAGTTTGGCACAGCCCCTCACCTGTCCCGACCTCTGCCTTAGACTTAGCGTCCCTGGCTCATGTGGACCAGTAGGTACAAGAGCCTAGCTCGGCATGACCTGTGCTCCCTCCTGGTTTCTAGTTTTGCTTGTGGGCTAAGGTTTGCTCAGTCCTGCCTGATCTACTCTGTTCCATTACCAGTTGAAACATTAGCCAGCTGTTGGAGCTACTTTTCCCAGCTTGTCTAACCCCCAGGTCTGGACCACATGTTCACCAGTGGGAGCTATGACTCGCCGAGGGAGTTTCCCAAGTTCTTCCACTTAATCCACTCCCAGACCCTGTTCTCATACATGCCATTGGGTTTTAGGCCAGTGCCTGGTGCAGTCTGGCCTTCCATTTGGCCTTGTATGAGCTGGTGAACATTGCAGCCTGGCCCACCCCAGACCCTAATCAGGATGCACAATCGGGTTTTGCTGCCCTGACTAGTCCAGACTATTGGGGGTTCCTTTACCTGTGATTGATGGCAGGCTCCTAGGTCACACCTAGCTTAGTCCATCACCACCCCAACTCTTGAGATAACCAGTGGGGCTAGAATTTTCACAGGATGTGGCCCACACATCCCTCACAGAATTTACCCCTGGATATGGTTTTTGAGTGCTAGTTAATGTGATGGCTTGCTTAACATGACCCTTCTCTTGATCCATCATCATGTCAGGTAACATGATATAATTATGCAGGACAAGCCCCAAGCCATAGCTTCTGCATGGACTAGTATTTGGTGGTCAGCATTGTTCAGTGATTACAAGTTTTACAAAGGAAGAGTTACTGACAGTGGGAATCTTTACGAATGTTTCAGGTCCTAGAAGCTGGGTTCAACCTGGAGCTAATTAAGCAGCAACTCAAAGAACCAAAACCCCAGAGCTCCCCAGCTGGGAGGCCAGCAGGCGAAGCCTGGCACCAAATGGTGCACTGAGGCCCGGGGACAGCTCACCACGTGCACATGGTGGCTGTCTTCTGGGATCCAGGCATGAGACGCCCCGTCCTGAGACCAGGAGGCTGCTGGAAGTTTAAATTCCCAGGCCCAAGGTCACGACCTTCCCAAACCCATTCACTGCCCAATGAAGGTGGTGGGTGGGTCCCAGACCTGCCCAGTCATGGAGACCTCCCCCCTCGGTGTACTCACCCCGAAGGGAGCAGCCCCTGGAGCCGAGGCAGGCCCAGGAACAGCTCACCATGTGCACATGGTGGCTGTCGTCTCAAACTTATTTTCAATCAATTTAAATGATCACGTGTGGCCAGCAGCTTCTGTACTGGGCAGTGTGGAAAATGCAGCATCTTCCCACCATTAATCTTTTGTTACCTCATGAAATCCACTGATTTATTGGGGAGAAATTGATAGATTTACAGAAACACGAGCCCCTTAGCTAGGGTCTCTGAAGGAACAATGACTGACATGCAGACCGCTTTGCTGCACCCACAGCCAAAATGGATGTGTCCTCCCCACTTTAATATCTCCCCAGACACGTCCCTTACACTGAAGAGCAGGTGAGGTGGAATCTGCCCCAAGCCTCCTTTAGCAATCCTTTCCCACACACACCTCCCAGAATCTACTCTGGCAATTTGCGCCAGCTCAAGCACCACTGAAGCATTCCCTAGTAGGTCTTTCTCAAGTTTCCCATCAGAATTCCCTGTGCGGATGTTAAAACAGATTCCTGGAACACAGACTAGAAGCAAACCTCGGATCCTAGGAGGAAGTAGTAGTGACAGAGTGTCGTGTTTATCAAAGAGCTTGGCCCCAATCTCCGCTCTGGGCAGCTGCAAGGCGGGTGAGCAAGCTCTTTACAGCCCTTGTCCTGGCACTCCCTGCCTCATACACCTGCTTGAGGGAGAAAGCACAGGCCTGCCAGCCCTCCCATGTACCAGGCCTTGCCTCTTTGTGATAATTTCGCCTCCTTATCTTGTAGCTGACTGAGCTATGAACTAAGAGAATTGCTTTACACCCAGAAAATGAAATCCACCTGTCCAATAGCCAACCATCCACTTCAGCCCTGAGCTCTCTCCTGCTCAGCTGCAGAAGCATCAGTCTCCCAGATAGAGGAGAAGGTGGCTGCAGCTCATTCATTCACTCCTGGGTCCAAGGCGTCCAAAAGCTGTGCCCCATACAGGCCAAAAAAGCAACTCAGCTCCCTGAGAGGAAAAGCAGTAGACAGCTCTACTTTTTTTCATTGATTTGAGAGTGAACTAAAGAGAAAGAAAGAAAGAAAGAGAGAGAGAGAGAGAGAGAGAGAGAATATCCAGAGCCAGGAGGGCAGTGTTCCAATTCCCCAAGTCATCATCTGCCATTCCAAGGTTGCACCTGCAGGAAGCTGGATCAGAAACAGCCCAGTGAGGACTTAAAGCAGGGGCTCACTCTGGTCTTGGTGTCACAGACAGATTAAATCTCTACTTGGCAAACACCCACTCCTGGACATGCATCCCTGTTTGGGTCTTTTAAAAAATCATTAATTAATTAATTATCATCATTTGATGATACAGTTCCATATATCATGGAATTTTTCTTATCCCCTTTCCATTCCTCCCCCCACCCCCGAGTTCCCCTATAGCATTACTATAGTGTAGCTCTTCATACACAGTCATATGTCCATCATTGCGGTATGGACAATGGCAGAGAGTCCAGCATCCTATCGTCAAGATACAGTAAACAGTTTCATTGTAAGTCCATCTTTGTCTGGAAGTACAGATGCATACTACATTGCATCTTCATATCTGGATATGTGAGTCTCCATTTCACTGTTACTGTATATCCTCTTATATGAAAAGTCATAATATAAAATCAACAACAGGAAGAAAAATAGAAATTTACAATGCCATGGAGTTAAATAACATGTTATTAGATATGACAGTCTCCATTACAAAGCTACTATACATCCTCTTAAATTAAAAGCCACAGAACAAAATCAAGAACAAGAAAAAAGAAATTAACACCATGAAATTAAATAACATGCTACTGAATGACTAATTTTTTTTCGCTGAAGAAATGAAAATCAAGAACCTTCTTGCAGAAATGATGCTACTGTATGATCTATGAGTCATTGAATAATTTAATCAGAAGAAACTGAAGAGATGAAACTAACAAAAACAAAAACACCAAAGTCCTTGACATAGTTTCCACTGATTTTTGTTGGTGAAATGTGTCTCTTCTAGACAACAAATAGATGGTTTTGTTTTTTAATCCAGTCTACTAATCCATGACATTTAATTAAGCTTAAGCCATTTACATTTTAAGCCATTAAAATGTATGGGTGGTAATTTCTTCCTGTCATTTTAGGAATGGGTTGTTCATTGCTTTAGTCTTCTGTTGTCATTTTACTGGAATGCTCTTCACACTTGCCTTTGGTTTTTTTGGGTGCTATTCCTCTTTTGTGTCAAGATAACATCTTGAAGTATTATTTGTAGGGCAGGTTTGGAAGAGGCAAATTCTTTTAACTTTTCTTTACTGTGGAAGAATTTTATTTCATTCTCAAATACAAAAGAAAGTTTTGCTGGATATTTTATCTTAGGCCGACAATTGTTTTTCTTTTAGAATCTGGAACATGTGACTCCGTTCTCTTCCTGACTGTAGAGTTTCCTGTGAGAGGTCTTCTGTGAGTTTAATTGGCATTCCTTTATATGTCAATTGATTTTTCCCTGTGCACATTTAAGGATCTTTTCCTTATGTTTGATTGAAGAGAGCTTCATGATCATGTGTCTTGGTGAAAATTGCTTTTGATCAAGCCTGTTGGGAGTTCTGTGTCCCTCCTGGATCTTGTTTCCCAATTCTTTCTCTAGATTAGGGAAATTTTCCCTTATTATTATTCCCTTATTATTTAATTAAATATATTTGTAAAACCAGTTTCTCTTTCTGCATCTTCTGGGACTCCCATAACTCTTATATTGGGCCTTCTTATAGTGTCTTTCAGTTCTTGAATTCTTTTTTTGGCCTGATCCAGCTCTGCTTCCAGCTTTGTTTGTCTCCCCCAGTGACAGAAAATATCTTCCAATTCTAAAATTCTCTTTTCTGCTTCACTCATTCTACTTTTGAGACTCTCCATTGTATTTTTAAATTTGCTCCACTGTGTTAATTTCAGCCGCCATATGACCCAGCTATCCCACTCCTAGGGATAGCTGGAATATACCCAAATGAAATGAAAACTGCATATGAAAAGGGGATCTGTAATCCTATACTTACAGCAGCACAATCTACAACAGCAAAGACATGGAAATGATCCAGATGCCTGCCCAAAAAAGAGGGTTAAAGAAACTGTGGTACATCTACTCCATGGTCATTTTCTTTTTTCCGTTCAAATTCCCGCTATGGATGGTAGACAGCCTATTAAACACTTTTCCTGTCTTCTCTCAGTATTTAGGTCAGCAGGTACTGAGATCATCTTTTTCATTCAGAACATGCCATGCTCAGTGGCTGGCAGCTGGCATGAGGAGCAGGGGTGGTGCTCCTGATGTGGGGCACAGAACCCCCAAACACTGTGTCTCAATTCTGAAGTTGCCTTGCACCGCTGTGCCCAACACCCTGAGCTGCAACTGACAAGCACACAGGGGAGTCTTGAATGCCTCTTGCTTCTCCTTTTCTGTTCCAGTCCATCCTATCTTCCTGGTCTTTTAATCCATTCATGACTTACAAAACCAATCGCCCCTTTCTCTCCTCACCCCCTTTGCTCATTCTCTTCTCTCAGAGAAGCCCACCAACCACCATCTGCTGGACAGCTTGCATTGTAGATACCCTATTTCCCCTCAGCTCCTTGGCTTTGAAGTCGGGATAAGTGGGTGGGGTTTGCCAGACATAGAGCCAGGTCAAACACCAAAGTCCCCACCAGGCACCCCTGGCATCATGGAGGGACCTGCTATCCTTCTAACCAACATGTGTGTTTGTCCAACCTTCTGTCATTCTGCTGACAGCATCTCCCCCTACCCTGCCCCCACTGCCATGTCTCTGAAACTCTGCTGCAATTCCCTGTAACATCTGTTGAACATCCTGCCCTGAGCAACCCACATCAGACTTAGACTATGGCCCGGCCAAGGGGAGAAGAGGAAGATAGCAAGTGAGCAAAAAGGAAATGCGGGAGATGGGTGAGTTTCTCTGGTGCAAGAACAGGACTCTGGGCTTCCTGGACCGCTGCCCAGCTGCCCACCTCTCACCGCCTGCTGGGGAAAAAGCTGGCACAGGTCACAGCCTGCCCTGTCCCAGGCCACTCCTGAGTTGCCCCATGGCTTTCATAACTTGCCTTTGGAGCAAGGTTTCGGTTGTGCTTCCCTAAAAATAAAGGCTTGCTCCGTGAATTGTGGTCAGTGCTTGCAGGTGGTATATATATATATACATACATATACATATATATATACCACTATACATATATAGTGGCATGGGCCTGAGAGGAAACATGGGGGAAAGAAGGGAGGAAGTGGGATTACATCTCTGAGAACAACAGGACAAAGCCAAAGCCCGACCTTCCCCTCTAGGCTAAGCCTGTCAGCCCCAGACACCAAGGCCCAGGCATGCTGCCTGCTAACTTTACTTCCATTATTACTGGTTCCAGCCATTTCTGTTGCCTTTCTATGCATAATTGTGCAAATAAAACTATTTCCGTTGCCCAAAGTTAACTTTTCCTATGGCGCCAAGTGTAAAGCGGGGGGAAAGCCCAGCCATTTAAAGTTTAAAAGACCAGATGCCAGCCAGGAGCTCCAGGCCAGCGGACATAGACGGTAAGGGCACGTCTCAGCGCACATGCAGCTGTCCTAGGCTGTAATAACGATGCCATGGTGGCAAGAGCGGCCGGGGATGGTGACGTGGTGTTTAGCACAAACCCGAAGCTGCCAGGATCGGACCCAATGCTTACCTTCAAGATTTGCCACAGCTGGAACCGATTCGGGAAGTGCGGGGGAGTCTCGTTCCCCCTGGGCCCGGGGCGCCGGGCCAGCGTCCCTGGTGTCCTGTCTGCCCCCGCGCACCGCGCGCGGACCTGCTTTGGGTCCCCGCTTCGCAGAACTCATGGCAGTGCAGTGCAAGATGAGAGGCCCGGTTGGGCTCCACTTCTTAAATCCCGGGGAGCTCTGTCCCCGCCCCTTCGAACTCACTCCGCCCTGGCTGGTGGCTTCAGGCCGCGCGCCTTCCCTGACATCTAGTGGTATTCTTCAAGCAGCGTCTCAGAATTGCGTTTCCTTGCCAGTTGCTCTGCAACATGTGGGAACCCAAACAAGACGGTGATCCTGCCCTGCTCCACTCCCGGAGAGAGCCAGGACCTGTGGAAATGCACGCTCCCCTTTGGGGCAATATTACCTCACCTGAGCTGAGCTAAGCAGGCCCAGCTGTTTGCTGTTCACACTCCCTGGTGAAGTTCATGCCAAGTCCTCTTCTGAAATGTTCTGTTTGCATTAAGGGATTGGGCTATCTTACTCCAGGAGGCCATTCCCAGTGTTTTCAGCTCTGATCTTCATAGTTAGCGACAGTGTCAGGGCAGTCTTGGGCAGAAAGTCTCAGGACCATGTTGGCCAGGGCTCTTCACCCTCCTGTGCTCCATTGCCCTCTGCTGGGCATGTAAACTCGAGTTAACCCCTCCTTGGGTGGTTGCTGTAAAATTTGTTTCCAGGAACAGCTGTGTCTTAGTGGATAACAAAGTTGTTTCCTGCAATTCTCCCAGACCTCGGCATTTGAAGGCAGCATTGTGGTATCTACAGCCCTCAGGTGCAGAGTCCCAGTGTTGCCTGGAGACCCACCTTCCTCAGAATGGCTCTGAGAGACAGTGCAGGGTGGCCTCAGGAGCTGGGGACCCTGATTGCTGATGGAGCCCACCTGGAGTTCCTGGATCCTGGTGCTCAGGCTAATGTTGAGGGCATCTGATGAGTCAATGAGCAGATGAAAGACCTCTCTTATTGTATTACACTGTTTCAAATAGGAAAAACAAAATAAAACAAAAGCACCCTGAGTTTATGTGTATAATGTAGCCTACTCGTGGTGAAGAAAATATTCAAGTATACTGAGACACTGTTTCCAATACATTGAATGTACTGGATAATTAAGTATAAATGACAATTTCTGTACATTAAGATGGAAAGTTAGCTGATAGAAAGGCTTGATTCTTCCTAGATCTGAATCACCAGTTTTATGAAACTGAAACTGAAGGTTTAGCTTATCATTACTCCCAGGAATGAAGTAGCTATGAAATTAAATTGCTTTCAGAGGTGAATATCAAATTGAATTCTGGTCACTGTTTGCAGTGTTTACTTCGCTGATTTTCTGGCGTGTGTGTTTTTTTTTTTTCTTGCAGAAATCACAGGAATAAATGTTCTGATTCCTCTATTTAGGAAACTTGAGAGCTAAGAAGAAAATGTAAAGTTGTCAGCAAAGAGATTGGGTCAGTGGCTAAACTAGAACAACATGAAAACAAAATAAATTGTATCCAAAGTATAAATTCATCTCAACATATTTTTTAAATCCATACAGGCCCGCATTGTGTGCTGCCAGCTCAGTTGCTGCCTGTTCAGCAGCATCCCGTGTCAGAACACTGATGCAGGTGGTTCCGGCTGCTCTGTTTCTGACCCAGCTCCCTGCTAACGTGCCTGGGGAAGCAGCAGCAGATGGCCCAGCTCCTTGGGCCCTGCCACCCATGGAGGAGACTCAGGTGGAGTTTCAGGCTCCTGGAATGCAGCAGGGGGATGAGCAGCTGCCTGCCACAGGGGCATCCCACAGAGAGCCAGCTGGAGTCCTGGCTATTCTACTGCTCCTCTGGCTCTCTGCTCATGTGCCTGGCAGAGCAGTGGATGATGTCGCATGTGCTTGGGTCCTGCCACCTGCGTGGGAGACCCTGATAGAGTTCCAGACACCTGGTTTCAGCCTGGTCCAGTCCTGGCTGTATCGCTATATCGGGAGTGAACAAGTGGGTGGAACTACTCTCTCTCTCTCTCTCCCTCTCTTTCTATGATTCTGTTTGGAATAAATAAAATTTTTTAAGCATCAAGAATAATTTTTATTCACACCACAGTTGGTAAAAGGTTGCAGTCTTAATGAGGTATAAGTGCTTGGCAATAAACATCAAAGATGCAGGCCCTGAAGCGCTCTCATGTGTGTCATTTTAAAATGCACACGTAAACTCCATCTTTTCTGTGAGTTAGGCAGAGGCAACAGCAACAGACCACACCTGTGATGCTAGCAGTTTCTGGGACGGCAGAGGCTGTGCTGCTGAGCCTGCTCAGCTTTGCTTTTGCTTCAAGACTACTTAGGAGTCCCCGAGTTGTTCCCGGGGACTGCCAACAGGGAGCTCCAATCTCAGAAGGGAAACAGACCCAGACAGTGTCCTGGGAAGTGGGAGACCTACCCATGTGCACAGTGGGCTAGAGAAACAACACTGAATCATGTGTTGAAAATGGAGAAAAAATATACTCAGTGCTGTTCAAGTATTTGTGTATACTTAAAATTTTATGATACACCTAGATTTTCTATTTTTCCAAATAAGATTCTATTGTCTGAGCTTTATAATGGATTTTATGTTTAATCCTTTTGCTGGTAAATGTGTTTGTAAAAATTGTTCTACTGTTTTCCCAATTTTTTTTTTCTTAATGCACCCATTTTTGAGATTGACTAAGACAATCTTGCACATGAAGGCAATGGCCAAGGTGACAGGTGCAAGGGCACTCTCATATTCCCCCTCTTTCTTTTTTTTATTTTCTTAACATTTCTCTTTAACAAAAAAGTATAAAGCATTGTAAAGTCTCCATCTGTTCACATACAAAACACAAATCTTTTCGCCACAAAAAGCCTACATCTTGGCCCAAGTTATTCTTCCATCCTCATCTGTCCCCAGCTGTCTGCATCCTCTTTAAAGGTCAGATTTCTCTTTGTAGCGACATGTGCATGCGGCCCGCTGGCTGTCCAGGTAGGGCTTACAGCCCAGGTGGATGACGCTGTCAAACAGGAGCTTCACTGCTGTTTCACACGCTGCAAAGTAAAGCATGGGATGACACACAGGAAACTGCCAGGCATTGTTCCCCTTTCACTGTCACATGTTTGAGTTCAAGGTCCAGCACATCCCTCATAGGTGACCAGGTGACAGTCATCCCAAACTCATAATCACGGGGAAAAATGTTATCTGTGTGTCCAGAAACACACACACACCTGGAGAACTCCAGTCTTAGTCCCTGTTTATAATGTTATAATAGGTTTCCATTCATCTAGTCAACCAACTCTTTGGTACTAGAAAAATAAAAAAAAAAGTTTAAGATTTATTTATTTTTATTGGAAAGTCAGATTTACAGAGAGAAGGACCAGCAGAAATAAAACTGCTCCATCTACTCATTCAATCCCCAATGGTTACAATGTGTAGTACTGAGCCTGTCAAAAGCCAGGAGCAAGGAGTGTTTTCTGCATCTCCCACATGGGCACAGAGCACTCTGAGTCCAAACATTTAGCTGGCAGATCCTCAAAGAATCCTCATCTGAAGTGATTCCCCCTGACTCTTGTGTGTGCTTGCAGTATGACGTCCAGCCGATTCCATCACCCACATCAGCCTACACATGCACTGATAGTTGCAATTGCTAGGTTCTGATCTATCTCCAGCCTCATCTCTCAAACCAATGGATGCTGCAGTCCAGTTCAACCATACCCACCACACACCCAGTCCTCACATACACCATTGGAAGCTGTGGACCAACTGGAGCTACATCCAATTACCCCCCCACTGGGTCTGTCCTGGCCATGGTTCCTGTGCCTGGCAGCACGTGCAGCAGACTGGCCCAGTGTGTCCCACATCCCAATCAGCTTTTGTACACATCATTGGGCATTGGATCGTAACTCAACCCCACCACCTCCACTCTCCACCCCTCACTCATGACCTACTTGGAATCACCTATCTAGCCAGGCATGCTCCCAGCCCTAATTCTTATGTTACCAGTGGGAGCTACAGCCCATTAGAGAAGTGCCCAGTTTTCCAAAGGACCTACTCCTTACCCCAGATCTTGCATTTTCCAGGTGGTTCTGCAATTTTCTTGACAGGACTTGGTCCAGTTCAGCAGTTGCCAGCTGGTGCTACAGCAAAGCCCAATTAATGTGCCTTTGCTCTGGCTCATGCCTGTACCAGAGGATACAATTGGTTTACTCAGTCTGGCTCTCCCGCAAGCCAGTTCACATTGAGGCCACCAGGCGTTGTAGTCCTGCCTGGCTTGGTCTGCCCCAAGTTCCAGCTTTCATGATCATCATTAGGAGCAGTGGCCCAGCAGTGGAGTCCCCACAGCTACCCTATTGGGTTCACATTTCCCCACCCTTGGTCTGATATGTGCTAGTGGTTGTTGTGGCCCAGTCTGGCACGGACCTCCTCACCTTGGCATATGCAAGTGAGTCCTGTATTCTAGCTCGACCCCGCCTGCCCCCTTGTTCCAGCTTATGCTTGGGACCCAACCTGGCCCAACCAGCTCTTGCTCCCGGCCCTAGTGTGAACTGGCTGGTGCTTCAGCCAGATCTGTACTTTCCTGTTCCTATCCTAGTTTTCAGTTGTGTCAGTGGGTGTTATAAACTGGCACAGCCTGGTCCTCCTCCATTCTTGATCCACGAGTATGCTTCCTGGTACTGTTTCTTGTCTTGGTAATTATGTTCACCTGCAGGAACTGCATGCTGACAAAGGAGTTCCTAAAGTTCCTCTATCAAATCTCCTCCCTCTGGAGGAATCATGCACACATGTGGGACTTTGGCTCAGGCTGACATAGTCCATCTCCTGTCCTGGCAGGAAGAGTGGCCTTGCCCAGGTGGCCTACACTGATTCTGGATTTTATTGTTAGGTGTTAGAGACAGCTACACCTGGTCCATGCCATGACATGTGGTTCAGATGGAGCCAAGATCTAACCTAGCCCTCTGTACACCCATCCTGGTGTTCATGAGAACCAGCACATTGCAGAATCTAGCCCATTTTGGTGAGCCACAAACCTTGACCACACCCATGCCAAGAGACGCTGTGGCCATGTCCACCCTAGATGGACATCTCCAATCTGGACATTGCATTCACCAGTGGGAAC